GCTGCCATATAGTCTGCAGTGAGCCCGATTTCTGGGATTTACGCAGACTCGTCCTACTCTCTTGCTAATCGACAATGAACCATGTCTGAGGCTTTTGTGGGACAAGCGAAGTTATAGTCGACTCAAACACATTGATATTCGAACGAAGTATGCTGTTGATTTGGTAGAAAAGGACGAGCTCTATCCAGAAAAGATTCATACTTCTTATCAGCCTGGCGATTTGCTGACGAAAGTTCTGCCTTTGAATCGGTGGAGGCTCCTTGGTGAATTTCTCTTCGGAGACCCCTTACCGGATATGCTGCTCTGAGGATGCTCGCCTGTCATGCTCTCTGCGCTTCATGCTCTCTGCGCTTCTGTCAGGGACAGTGCTACTCTGTTCCCATGCCGTCAGTCGCCAAAGTTGTATGCCCCGTGTGTGATTGACGGTGATCCGAGTTCCAGTCTCCGACAAGGAGATTCAACCGATCCTGCTGCGGTGGCTTCCAGGCTTTATCTTCCGTCTTTTCTCCGATTCAGGGAGGGTTTCTCGGACCCTTGCCACCGAGTCCGTGTCGCTCGAGAATTGTCAGTCTTCCGTCTTCTATCCGATTCAGGGAGGGTGTCTCGGGTGATGTCACCGAGGAGACTCTCATGGAGAACGTGAAGGAATCGGATGAATCGGAAGGAGGATAAAGACAGACACGTCTTCCTCAAGCCTGTGGCTAGCTGCAACCAAGACATCTGTTCTAGGTTAGTATCTTAGAAACTCGCTCATCCTGATCTATGGAACCCATGACGGTAGTGAACGATGAAATTGAATGGCCAAAAATGAAAATTGAGAAAGAAATGACGGATGAGTCGAGATCGATAAGTCATGTGGTTGAAATGAAAGCGCTGACGTCAAAAATGATTGTGCCTTGGCAAAACAATGATCCCCGGGGTAGATAGGATAGAAAGGGCCCATAGATTAGAAACGAGAAAATTGTGTTCAAAACAATCAGAGATCAATCAATGCATTGCAAGAATTCTGAACCTGATCTCTGGAGCTTGATTGGAATTCTAAATTCTTGGCATCATCAATGGGTGGAGATGTCTTCATTGCTCAATGCGCAAGCTTCAGAGAGGTCACATGATGACCAATCCCATCATGAGGATCAGGTTGAAGAGGAGGAGGAGCTGTCTGACTTGAAAGATGCAGATGTGTTCAGGACTTAGTCTTGAGCTGACACTGCAGGCAGCTGGGAAGAGTTTATGATGGAAGGTGAGGAGGAGCACAGGTGCATGCGGACAGCGCAGCGGATGAGGAGCGTCTCTGTGGCATGCGGATGGTACAAGCTGAGGAACCCGTGTGCACGAGCATCATGATGCGCTAGAGGAGACAGCGCAGTGCTGCAGAGTGAAGCGCAAGCGCTGGAG